GAGCCCAAAACAGATTCAAAATGACAGGATAAAGGATTTAGCCCTATTAAGTAAAATTTTAATTTTTCTTTTTTGAGACAGAGTCTTACTCTGTCACCCTGGGTAGTGCCATGACATTATCATAGCTCACAGCAACCCCCAAAATCCTAGGCTTATGCGATCTTCCTGCCTCAGTTTTTCTATTTTTAATAGAGATAGGGGTCTTGTTCTTGCTCACCCTGGTCTCAAATTCCTGAACTCAAGCAGTCCGCCTGCCTCTACCTCCCAAAGTGCTAGTATTGGAGGTGTGAGCCATCATGCCCAACCACAATAAATTTTTTTAAATTGCAATATTAGTTTATTTTTATGTCACTCATCATCATATCCTATCAATATTTTCCATGTTACTCCTTTTACACACATGCATGTTTTTTGTTATTTGCAGTTATAGTGCTATTCTGTATTGCTCTATTTTGAACTTGCCACCTCTGGTATATGGGGCCAGTGCCTACTCCTTGAGCCACAGGCACCACCCTGTATTGCTGTATTTTGATAAACATTTCAGTATCTCTCCAGATGTCATTAAGATTTAAAATAATTTGAGGTAGAAGAATTGCAGGAGGTCAGGAGTTGAGACTAGCTTAAGCAAGACGGAGGCCTCATCTCTACTAAAAATAGAAAAATTAGCCAGGAGTTGTTGTGGGCACCTGTTGGGAGGCTGAGGCAGGAGGATCACCGGAATCCATTAGTTTGAGGTTGCTGTGAGCTAGGCTGAGGCCACAGTGCTCCAGCCTGGGTAACAAAGTGAGACTCTGTCTCCAAAACAAACAAACAAAAGCTTTATAAGCTCAGGCGCAGTGGCTCATGTCTGTAATACTAACACTCTGGGAGGATGAGGTGGGTGGATTGCCTGAGCTCAGGAGTTCAAGACCAGCCTGAGTAAGAGCAAGACTCCGTCTCTAAAAAATAGTAGGGTGTTGTGGTGGGCACCTGTAGTCCCAGCTACTCAGGAGACTGAGGCAAGAGAATTGCTTGAGTCCGAGAATTTGAGGTTGCTGTGAACTATGACACCATGGCACTCTACCAAGGGCAGCAAAGTGAGACTCTGTCTCC